ACAATGGATGATGTTAGTAGATTACATTCGTGTAGCATATTACATATGATTTGATTCTACCAAATACACACTGCATGTGAGAATTTACGAATGATTTGATCTTAAACTGCGTCTGATTCGTACATTCGTTGAATTTGTATGTGATGGAAAAACGTAATGATCAGATCGATGCTTTCAAAACAACAATTTCTTTCCCAATTTATATACGATTTTCATTTCTCCATGTTCTATTGTTCAGTAATTGAGATTCGATCGGATGCCAGTCTGGGTGAAGCTGTTCGATTACTCTCCCAAAACAAACTCCTTAGCGCACCAGTTGTAGACGTCGATGCACCAGAAGATTCCAGTTGGATCGATCGATATCTTGGTATAGTCGAGTTCGCAGGCATCGTCGTTTGGATTCTACATCAGGTTCACATACTTCAATTTCTTCCCCCAAATCACAAATTTCGTAAATCATAACAGAGTTCATATGATATTTTGATATGATCTCACACTCTTATCTCAACAACAGTCAGAAAAGAAAGACGGACTGGATGCAGCCGAAGTATTCGCTAGAGCATTACAGGAATCCACCGGACCTGCAGTTGCCGCCGCCGCCAGCGGCATGTCTTCCCCGAGATACAGAAGCTCACAGCCGGGTTCTCCTAAAACCGCCGGGAACTTCTTCGAACTCTTAACTTCTTCCGATTTCTATAAAAATACAAAGGTTAAAGACATCTCAGGGACATTTCGTTGGGCTCCATTTCTGGCATTACAACCATCTAACTCCTTTCTCACCATGCTTTTACTTCTATCAAAGTACAGAATGAAAAGTGTCCCAGTTGTTGATTTAGGTGATAAAAAGATTGAAAATATCATCACTCAATCTGCAGTTTTTCATATGTTGGAAGAATGTGTTGATCTTCAGTGGTTCAAAAGCTGGGGATCCAAGAAATTACATGAAATCGGTCTTCCTCTTATGAAATCCAATCGGATTATTAAAGTAGAAGAAGATGAACCCGTTCTTCAGGCGTTTAAAATCATGCAGGAGAAGGGAGTCGGTGGTGTTCCGGTGGTGGCTAGCGGCGGCGGCAACAAAGCGGTTGGTAATATCAGCATTAGAGATATTCAATTCCTTCTAATTGCCCCTGAGATTTATAAAGATTACAGGTTTGTTTGTTTTTTTAAGAAAAACTTTTTTTTTGTCGATGATTTAACAGGAGTTTGAAAGGGTTGAGATTTTTACTGCAGATCGATTACGGCTAAGAATTTTATAACAGCGGTGAAAAGCTACTTGGAGAAGAATCAGAAGGGGTCGGCATTGATGAGTGAGATGGTTAGTTGCAGAAAAGATGATACGCTTAAAGATGTGATTTTGAAGCTTGATTCGTTAAAGATTCATAGGATTTATGTGGTGGATAATGAAGGGAAGCTTGAAGGGTTGATAACGCTGAGAGATATTATATCCAGGTTAGTACATGAGCCTAGAGGGTATTTTGGGGATTTCTTTGATGGTATTTTACCCATACCTCAAAACTCGAGGGTTTAGGAGAGAGAAAAAAAATGATCAGATAATAAAACCTTTTTGTCGGGAAGAGTCTATTGTTAATTTGTAAGTCTTTTTGGTTTGTTTTTGGTATCTTGTGTATTTGAAAGAATGAAGAATACTTGGTGAATCGATTCGATTGTATTCATGGTATCTAACTAATTCTACAACCGTTAAGTTGAGAGATAGTAATTTCCCTCCTAAAATACGAGTTAATTTGCCTTTTCACTAAAAAAAATTTAATTTCTATGAAAAAGAATCCACAATGGAGTGAATTATCTCTTCATGTTGGTTATGAGATTGGAAAGTTTGATCGGTGCCTTTACTTGACTCCCTTAATTGCTTCGATACTATAAAATCGTAAACGAGCCAAACTCACTCTTGATGACTTAACTTGACTCCCTTACACCCCCAATAGAGATACTTACATTTTCACTTTTCATTGACCATGTTTATAAAATTTAACAATAAATGTACTTTATTAAAAATAATACAAAAACCGGGTAAACACATGTTTGTTATTTTAAAGCATTAAATTCTATATAATTCAAATGAATGCCACATAATCATTGCAGCTGTCATGAAGCTTATTTTTTATAAAACATTTTATAATTATCATTTGTTTATTAATGATTATATATTAAAAAAAGTTCCATTATTCTTATAGAACATTTTAATAGTCATTGAAGTTCATATCCATTGAACCAGCAGACCAGCGTAACATCCAATTATTGTTGAGTTTAATCCATAGAATGTCAATTACACAATATACCAGATTCAACAATTTCATTAAACTATAAATTGTGAACACACTAATTTCATTGAAAATCATTCACAATGCATGAACTCTATAAACTTTAACGAATAGCCACATCAACATTCACGAGTTGCATACAACTTACTTCTTACTCTACAACGTTCAATAAAACATATTTTAAATAATATATATATATATATATATATATATATATATATATATATATATATATATATATATATATATATATATATACGCACTACCTTATAAAAGAAATCTTACTATTTCTATGAATAGAATCAATATAATAATAATATTTTTTAAGACGTTCAAATCTTTAAGCTTAAAGTACAACCAACTATTAATATAATAATATTATAATATATATCTTACAAATGATAATGCTAGGAATACAAGTATTAAAAACACATTTAAATTAGTATTTCCTTATTTTTAGGGATTGAATTAATATTTTCATCAATTTTGACCCAACTTGTACTCCTAAAATATCTCTTCTCTCTCTGGTATCTGGTGCATTCGAAATCTGAAACACTTCTTTTCGACAAATCGTTTGAAATTTAAAAGCTCATTCAAATTGAAGTTCTCTGATTTTTTGCATAAAATATAGTTGACTGGAGACTAATTCAAATCTTCATCTCCTTTTCCTTCATGGAATCCACCACCACAATATTTTTTGGTTTTGGTATTGTACTTTTTATTTTTGTGAAACCGATCGATAATGGTGCAAGTGTTCTTAGAAATATAACATGTCTCCGAATGAAACTAATTGCTTGAAAGAAACTATTCGCCGCCGCCGCTTTGCACGGGCAAACGGCTAGTATATATATATATATATATATATATATATATATATATATATATATATATATATATATATATATATATATATATATATATATATTACATTAGACGATTCCATGATATTATAAGATTATAGTACATGCATAAAGATGATATTTGTAGCTTCGTTCAGGAATCCAATCATAGTTTGTATGGGTGTAAAAAATTATAGGACATGCTTAAAATTAAAGTTAAAGATGATATTTGTAGCTTCGTTTAGGAATTATTTGATTCTAGTCATATTCTGTATAGCTATATTTTGTATACATGTAACTTGTCTTTTTCATATAACTTGTCTTTTTCACGTTAATCCGAAGATTGATAATCCAATTGTTATCAAAGATTATAGACCTATTAGAATTTATACCAGTGTGTAGTATAAAATTATTGTTAAAATTTTAGCTATATAGTTATTGATAGTATCATTAGCACGGAGCAAGACAAAATTACAAAAATGGTCCCTGTGTTTTGTCAAAAGTAACAAACTTAGTCCCTATCTATTTTTTTTAATGCATTTGGCCATTGTGGTTTGCAAAAGTTGCATTAGAGGCCCTTTTTCATAACACTGTTAATTTTAGCCGTTTGGGGTCATTAAGTTAGGGGTATATTCATCTTTTTACGTTTGCTTCTCCACCCCCTTTAATAAGCCCTAACTAACGTTCACAAAAATCAAGCTAGCATCTCTGAAAGATCGAAGCTCTCCTCTCTTGCAAGAATGGTGATTTGTACGTGTGGAAGTGTTGCTGTGAGAGTCACATCTTGGACGGACCTCAACCCGGGAAGGCGATTCTGGTCTTGTGCTCGAAATGGTCGAAGCTGTCCATTTCTTGGGTGGGTGGATGATCCGATGTGCCATAGAGCTGTGGAGGTGATTCCTGGCTTGCTGAGGAGAATGAACAATGTTCAAATGATGTTGATTCAAGCTCGTGCAGATGTTGTGAAGCTCAAGTGGATGCTTATTCTGTCTTGGTTCTTGTTTTTCGTTTATATACGTATGCACTAAGTAGTAGTTGGATTTGGGGATGTATTTGGTCAGTGTATTTTGGATATGTAATGTCGGATGGTGTGTAGAACTGGAATGGGATATTACCAGTTGATTTTGGGATGGGATGTCATGTATTAGAATCTTAATGTAATGTATGGTTTTAGTTAATCAGTTTAATGGCATTTTATCTTATGTTAATTATAAAAGCATTGTTTTTTTTTATTTTTTATTATTGATTAGGAATATTGGAATGGAATGGAAAGAGTTGTGTCCATTTATCAAAGATTGGAATGGAATGAGTTGTGTCCATTTATCAAAGATTGGAATGGAATGAGAAAAATACAAAATCAAAGCCCTATAAGTAAACAATGGAATGGAATGTGTTTTGGTCATTTATCAAACAATGGAATGGAATGAGTTTTGGACATTATCAAACAATGGAATGGAATGAGTTTTGGTCATTATTAAACAATGGAATGGAATGAGAAACACACCATATCAAAACATGATAACTGAGATCATTATAACCAGAAATGTAGCATGACATATGGCTAGTATCAACTTGATTACATCACTAATTTAGGTAGTTGCAAAAAGATGTAATTATCTAGATTAAACATGTTTTAACAAAAGCATCAACACAATTTTATAATCTTAAACAAAAGGTAGCCAAATAACTTGATTAGTCATGCTTTCATTTGTATCCAACTTCACTTAGGTCCTACTTGAGGCTTTTTTACCCTTGTCTATCTTCTTTGCTCTTAACCCACCCATGAAATCTTCACTTGATCCACCCACTGAACCTTGACTTGTTCCACTAAATGCATCTTTACTTGATCCACCCACACCACCTTGACTTGATCCACCCACTACTCTCTGACTTGACCCTCTTGCCCCTTACATGTTCTAGAGTTATGTCCTTTGTTATGACACTTGGAACAAGTAACAGTCAAGAATTTCCTAGATAGGTTTTTTGATTGGTTACTAGCCTCATCTATAGCCCTCCTCCTCTTTTTCTTTGGCCTTCCAACCTACAAAAATATTAAGGAAATGTTAAAACTGGATGAATAATAAACTATGTTAACTAACATTCAACTTACTTGTGTGTGATGTGTAGGTGGTATAAGAGTGGTTGGACATCTAGATTTTGGCCACATGCTCCTGCCATTGATTGGATCTATTTTGTTACAGTACATTGCCCTCCATGTTTCTAGCTTATAACAAGGATGCACCCAATATTCAGGTTGTTGGGCTTTTTCACCATTTTGAATATGTTCCCATATTGCACAAACTCCATGTCTGCAGACTATCCTTGTTATCTCCCAATACCTACAACTACATGTACCCTCTTTCAATTTGACCACATACTGATCAAACATCATACCAGTCACTTGATATTTTCCAGAACCACAAAAAAGTGCCCTATATTTGCTTGCAGCTGTTTTGATTGTGTCAAGTATGGTAGTTGCAGTGGGGGTTAATAGACTTTTGCATTTATCAATTTCTTTTTGTACAATGCAATGTCTCTTCATCAAGTACACTCTTATGTACTCCAAACATGTAATTATAGGCTTGTCCCTTCCATGCTCTAGCTTAGAGTTGAATACTTCACATAAATTGTTTAAAAGACAATCTGAATGGGCTCTACCTGAGAAATGAGACCTAGCCCAATGAACTGGAGGAATCTTACTTAGCCATTCATGAGCCTCTGCACTGAAATCTTAGAACTCATCCATTGACCTTTCAAAGTGCCTAATGGTTGTATGTGTAGCACACCTCCATAAGTGATCTCTAAACTCTTCCCCCTCCATTGCAACTTCATGTTTTCATGTATATGTCTCAAACACCATCTATGCTCTGCATTTGGAAACACTTTTGCTATTGCAGGTATTATGCCCTACATATAATGTAAATTATAGTTAGTATTGTTACAAGCTTTAAAAGATACTTATGTTATATGTATTATACCTTTTGTCTGTCAGATACAAAAGTGAAGTTGCATGATGCATCCAAATCCAAATCATCACCAAGGCATTCTAAGAACCATGTCCATGAACTTGTTGTCTCAGCTTCCACAACTGCATATGCTAGTGGATATATTCCATTGTTGGAATCAAGACCTACAACTGTTAGAATTTGTCCAGGGTGTGGTCCTTTCAAGAAACATCCATCCAATCCTAATAATTCCCTTTTTCCAGATTTGAACCCCAACTTAACTGCTCCAAGACAAATGTATATCCTCTTGAAAATACGAGTTTGAACATCAGGATTTGGCTCATTACACACTTCTAGCTTCACTGTTGTACCTGGGTTATTGGTTTGTAACTCCAAACAGTAATCTCTCAACAAATTATATTGCCTTTCGTAGTCACCATATAGTTGTTCCTTTGCAATCGATTTAGCCCTGAACACCTTCATTCTTGATATGCTTAATTCCAAATCCATTTGAAGCTCTTCTTGTAAGGCTGTTACTGGGATGCGAGGGTTGGAATCCACTTTTTGGAGAATAGTGCTTGCAAGATATCTAGATGTACATGCCTTCACATTTCTACTTTGTAAGCATAAATGCTCATCAATAACTGTCTTCACCAACCATTGTTCCTCTTCCGTAGATCTAGATATCTGAATAGCAAAAGGAAAAGAATCTTTTTGTGAAATTACAGTTTTGCCCTTCGATGTGGCTTTACTTACAGTGGAGGGCCCACCATCAGTGGAATCTGGAACCACCCCTTTACACTTGACTCTTACTCTTAATTTTTCATTTTTTGCCATGTAAAGGGCCCTCCTTGTTTTTATTGAAAGCATCTTCACGTGACCTTGTATATCTTTTTTGGTTTTAAAAGCTTGACCCACAAAAAATGGTGTAACATGAACTACCCCGGAAGAATAAGGCACCTTCTTGTTCAGGTTTTTTAACATTCTCTTCCTTAGGTCTTCCTCATATCCTGTACTGTCAAACTCATCATTGTTGATCACACCTAAATCATCATCTTGATTTAAATCTAATTCTATGTTTGGACCTTGTCCAAACCATTCAACCTCATCCACACAACTGTGAAACTCTCTCATATCAACCTCCCAGTCATCTAAAATAGCTTCTGGGTCAACAATGTAGTCAGAATCATCATCTTCTTCTGTATGCTCTTCTGTATCATCTTTTGAATCCTCTGCATGCCCTTCTTCATCTTCTTCTTCTTCAGCTTCAACCTCTCTTTCAAACTCATCTATAGTCTTATATCCATCACTACTAAAAGGCTCAAAATCATCTAGCATTTCCCTATGATTATGGCAATTAATATCACCTGTAATTTCTTGCATTGTATCAGTTTCTTCTGGTACAGGGAAATACGAATCATCCTTAAACTCATTAACCATGTCTTGTTTGTTTGGCTCAAAAGGAACTAGGGACATGGAAAAATCATACACACCATCTTCTCTCTGAGCTTGATTAGTTGATTCTATAAATGGGACATTCATGTCTAATTTCTTGCTACACGAACCAATTCCCTTCTTCTTAGGCCTAATCCTATTAAGCTCAGGAGAAGGATCATCATCCAGTTGCTCAATAACAACTTTACTTGGGGACATGAAGTAAGTATGAAGTCTTGTAGAACCATGTTCAACGTACACATTAATCACTCTGTTTTAAGGGACAAATTGAGTCATAGATATAACGTCTTGATCATTTCCTAGAGCCTTCAATCCAAAATCTAAGTCTAGATTAGGAATTCTATAATGATAGTACATTGTGTCATCCGCAGAATACCCTATCTCACGAATCATGTCATTTAGATCATGAACTGAAAAAAGATCAGTGTCAACAAAGTCATAGAATGCCAACCTTCCCTCAACGTACTTTCTTCCTGGGAACTTTGAAAAAAATCCACCATGATGTATTTTTAAAGTGAAGAAATTGTCGTGACCATCTGAAAAAGAAAAATGATGAGCCTTGAATATATAAAACAAGAAACACCAAACAAAAGATGAAACAACTTACTGTAATCTTTATCAAGGTCGGGTGCAATCGTATGAGGACCACGTAAATTCCACATACAAAGTACCATTTTCAGTTGATAAAACCTAAAATCGGATGGGATGGATGAAGGATGAAGATCGTCAAGATGATCAATAGGCTAAGGTGAAGAGGAGAAGAATGGGGTTTCTTGGATCTGCTTAATGAGGATAAGTTAATGACGTATCGTTGCCTAATCCATCTTAAATGAGCGCCAAATGTAAAAAGACGAATATACCCCCCAACTTAATGACCCCAAACGGCTGAAATTGACGGTGTTAAGAAAAAGGACCTCCAATGCAACTTTTACAAACCACAATGGCCAAATACATCAAAAAAAAAAAAATAGATAGGGACTAAGTTTGTTACTTTTCACAAACCACAGGGACCATTTTTGTAATTTTGTCACGGAGCAATTTGCTATTATTAAAGTTGGGAAAATTTTGGGTTGATCAAGTGAACAAAGTGATTGAATTAAAAGTAAAAAGAAAAAGGTGATGATCTTCAAAGTTGATTTTGATAAGATGTATGATTCTTTTGTTGGGAATACTTGTTCAAGATTATGGATTTTGACCAAAAATGGATAAGGTGGATAAAGGCATGCTTAGTTTCTTCTCATGTTTCGCTATCGGTGAATGGGAGCCCGACCATGGAGTTTTCTTTACAGATAAGTCTAAGATAAGGAGATCCTATCACACCCCCAAACCAAGGATGGCGGAAACGTCCGAGGGTGGAGGACTTCATGTATAGTTTCACAACAACGAGTATAATAATGCTCAAAGTACAAACAACCAACATAAATATAATTGAAAAAGTTACATCATAGTATAAGCTTACATGTTTCTAAATCAATTACATTATGTTGACAAAAATACAATGTTTGATGCCTTAGCGTTCCATCCTCAAAAGCCACTGTTTACTTGTTTTACTGATTCCCTGAGAATACAAGTAGTTTTGAAAAAGTGTCAACAATTAAGTTTGTGAGTTCATAAGCTTTTTGAATGAAATGTTAAGACCATTCCTTGAAAAAGTAGTGTTTGTTCCAGAAAATCAAATATTTCCCCTTTTGAAATGTATTGTAGTCTTAAATGCCAAGACTAATAGTGTACTAGTATTTTACCATATAAAATCGTGAATCATGCAAGTTTAAATTCACATAAGTTTGTTAGTTTAAATGGAAATCCCGTAAATCTTATGTTTGTTAATACCCCATGTGAGTTATTATAACCATACTATGACTTAGTGGGCCTTGTATACGACGTTCTTCAGGCGTCAGGATGTTAATGACGTTTGTCACCCCAGACCTGCGGGTCTAGCTGTTGCATGCAACTAAGGTGTGGGTTTGTCAAACCTAATATAGATTTATACACAACTATCACGTTCTCTCTTCAATAGATTCTAGTTATAATTACAGGACTTTTGTTGCACTACTTTTGTAGCGCCTAGTTCCTGGTATGTAAATCTTCATTGAGTATTTCTCCTTTTTAAGCCTTGGACTCGGCGAGTCTGTGACAACCCGATACTTCAACTCTTTGTAACGACCAAAATGGGTCAAGTATTGTAACCACTTATGCGTAATAAAATGTATAAATAAGTTCTACTTAATTTCTTTCTATGATTTAATGTCTTTGAACCATGATCGTACGTAAAAAGATCGCCCAAATCCGACTTCATATAGCGAAGTTATGAACTTTCAAAGAAATTCCCTTAAACACGATGGATTGTTATTAAATAATAAAAACAATAATAAATTTTTTTTTGGAATTTGCCGACGGAGTCTAAACGAAAGTTGTAGAGCGTAGTCTCACCTACGCGAGGATATAAAGACCATCAAAAACGGAGTTCGTATGAAGAATATATGAATTTTTGAAGTTATTAAATAAATTAATTATTTATTTTAATCAAAATTCGGATATTATCCGAAGAGGAGTCAGCGCCCTCATCCGAGGTACGCGCCGCGTACTCCTGTACGCCCCGCGTAACTGAGAGAAGCAGCCTCTGATCGTCCACATCGCACCATCCGACTCGCCGTCCCATCCGACCCGCGTACCCAGCGACCCGTCCCATCCGACCCGCGTACCCAGCGACCCGTCCCATCCAAAGCCGAGGCAGTCGAGGCCTCGGTCACGCATGACGTACGCGTACGCGTTGCGTACGAGCGTACTCCCCGCGTACCGAGGCAGACCAGCCTCCCTATAAATAGCATACGAGGGTTTGCAAGGAAAGGGCTCATTTCTCTTCTCTCTCTCTCTCTCTACTTTGCCTCATTTTCCGTGTCCGTTCAAACCCGAAGCTCTGGTCTTCTTGGCTCAAGTCCCGAAGGTCGATTTTACCCCCGAGATTCCCGAGAATCCCGAGGAAAATCCGTTTCCCGAGACGAAACTCTGCCCGGTTTTCCATCTCGCTATCTCCAAAACTTTCAAGTGAGTTTCATACCCCTTAATCAACCGTTTTAATTATTCTAAATACTTTTATATGCTTTCAAGGGGGGGATTACAAGTAAAACACACAAGTATTATCGTGTGTTACATAAAGAAACTCTTTTATATAATGTTAAATATTCAAATCACATTTGATTTATAAACTTTTAAAGGAACTTTTATATATAAATATATAACATATGTTACAATAGCATTCGATCTTTTAAAAATATAAAGTTGTTGTAATACATGTATAAAACTAAACTATTCTTAAATTATTTTGTTCTATCTTAGACTCTACACCAAAAATTTATGCTTTCATAAACAAATTATTCTTTTCCTAAGTATTTCTAAACAAACAAAGCACACCTTTTAAAACTATAATAGGTATAGTTTTACGAACAGATTTCTAACTCTTAGGTACTAGAAACATATATTTTCAAGAAGTTTACTTTTGTATACAAGAACAAACGTAACATTTTAACAAGTAGATCTGTTTTTATACCACGGATTTGTGAGACACTAACTTCATGTACGTTCGAGTACACATTTCAAGTCCTGTATTATATACCAGAATCCCTTGGAGGGGGAGCATGGTGTTTGTGTATAGATCTATACGGGCTTGACAACCCGCGCCCTGACTGTTAGCTGCAGTCCACCGTTTGGGGTGACAAACGTCATAACATTCCAACGCCTGAAGAACGTTGTGTATAGGCATTTCGAGTCAATAGTATGGTTATAAAACTCACAAGGGGTATTAAAAATGCATTGATTTACAAGGTTATCAAACTCATTGATTATTTTACATTTACACACATTTTGGAAACAAACATTGGTCTTGAATAAAGGCTACTTTTATGCTAGTGGAAAATATAGGATTTTCTAAACACATACAAACAAAGATAAAACATTTCATTTCATTCAAACTTTGTCATTTAAATACTTATGAAATTCACCAGCTTAAATGCTGATCTACTCTTTCAAAATTACTTGTATGTCCCAGGAAATCAGTAATTTCAGGTATGCATTTCGCTTTTGATGAAGGGATGCTGCGGCGCCAGTTTAATCTCGTATTTTGACATCATATTGTAATTGAGTTTTGAACATGTAACTTTTGACAAATGTAAACTTTCAATTATATATATATGATGGTTGTATTGCTTTCTTTACTATGTATTCATTTGTTACGTTACCACATGAAGTCATCCGCCCCCGAACGTTTCCGCCGTTCAGGTTTGGGGGTGTGACAGAGTCATAGGTCTGACTCGCTGAGTAGGGACAAGACACGGGACACGTTTAAGTTGGCGACTCGGCGAGTCCATATCCTGGACTCGGCGAGTCACTGCTGTTGGATGAAACCCTAAGTTTCAGGGGTTTGCACCCAATTTAAGCAACATATGCGCCCCAAGCCAGCCCCCATTCACCCCCAGAGCTCCTAACCCTCGTTTAAGCTTGTTCTTTGAAGAGTTGAAGCAATTGTTGGTATTTTTGAAGGTTTTGAATAAGAAGGGAAGTAGATCCAGAAGAAAGGGAAGCCATCCAAGCACCATTGTGTTCTCTCAGCAGTTCCATTGAGGTATATCTCATTTTTCCCTTGTTTCCATGCTTATTGCTTCATTTAAGACATTCTTGAGCCATTCCCCAAGCTTGTATGTGCATAATGTTCCGAAATAATCCGATTGGTCTCTTGATCCAAGCATAGTTGAGCTCCAGGAGCTCAGATCCACTACCTTTATGAGCCCATATTGCACATAAACCTTAGATCTACTCTTTTGGTGCATTTCAAACCCTAAAAGCTCCATAGATGGATATTTACATGTAAAGTTGGAAACTTTACGTGTTATTCATGCTCTAGGAGCCCAGATCTACAAATGTCATGGATTGGATTTGAGCAAAATCACATTTTTAGCTCTTGCATGGAACGGACTCGGCGAGTCGCTCATCTGACTCGGCGAGTCCAGTCGCGAGTCTCCGGGTTTGCTCCCTTTTTGTTATGTCGAGTCGTGAGGTGAGTCCAGGAGGGACTCGGTGAGTTGGAAGCCAAAAATCACCCGTAATGGAACTCGGCGAGTCGATGCCCTAACTCGGCGAGTTCAAGGCAATCTCCTTAGATCAAGATCAGACTCGACGAGTTGTTCATACAACTCGACGAGTCGCAGTATAAGTGTTCATCGGATGAAGATGAACTCGCCGAGTTGTTCATACAACTCGGCGAGTAGGATGAAGGACTTGAACATCCGTTTGGATGGAGAACTCGTCGAGTCAACGCCTAACTCGACGAGTAGAAACAAAATCCTGGATAGTCGTTTGGACATAGACTTGACGAGTTGGATAGCCAACTCGACGAGTCGGGTCAACTGGAAGTTGACTCTGACTTTGACTTAGGGCATGGCCGGGGTAAAAGGGTCATTTCACCCAAAAAGGTAGTAAATATTGATTGATTGAGTATGTTGTGGGAATTACAGCCGGAGGATTTCCGGAGTAGCAACAGCAGCAGACAATCGGTTCCCACACACACCAGCAACTATTTCGAGGTGAGTTTCCTTTCAGTAGTAACGGGTCTAAGGCACCAAGGTCGGCCCGTATAGACGAGACGTTAGTATTAGAGTGTGGGTCGAGCCCGTATCTCTTAATAGAGTGATTGCGATATATGCTAGTAGGATAGAGCTGTCTATACTTGTTGTCTGTGTGATACTTGTATGATATG